TGCTGGCGGAGCTGTTCTTGCTGCACTTGCTGCTGGCGGAGCTGTTCCTGCTGCATCTGCAATTGGCGAAGCTGTTCCTGCTGCAAGTGTTGACGGAGCTGTTCTTGCTGCTGCTGCTCTTGGCGCAGCTGTTCTCGCTCCAACTCCTTTTGTCGCAAACGCGACTGCTCAAGCTCTTGTTGCAAACGCAGACGCTCCTGAATAATTTCCTTCTGCTCCTGTAGCCTCTGTTCTTGTTGCTCCCTTTGTTTCTGCTTACGCAGCTTCTCTTCCTGCTCTTGGCGTTCGCGCTCTTGCTGGGCAATCTGTGGTGCAACAGGAGCTTGCCTCAGGCTCCAGAATTTGGCAACACGACAGCCCAAACTGGATGAAAGGATGTCAATTGGTGGCAAGACTGTGACACATCTGTCCAACGACTGTGACACATCTGGCCAAATATCTTTATTAAAATGCCTAATGTCTAATTGTAGAACAGGCAACCGTGGATTCCAAGGCTGAATGCTTCACATCGCGGATAACCAACCTCCAGAAACAGAACACCCTGAAAATTTAGATGCTCCGCCTACCTCCGATGTCCAACCAAACCGCTTTCTCCCAAACCACCTGTGTGTACAATCCAACCACATCCTCAAGCTCAAGTCATAGATGTGATTTACCTCAGCCCTATTAGCCTATCATGTTCCTGGACATCTCTCATCAATCAGCTCCAAAGCCCATCAATCAGCTCCAATCCCCCCTTTTGATCGAGAAAAACCAAGGAACTCCTCAAGCTCCTGGGGGTCGAACGAAGGGTCGGGTCGAATCTGCATCCCTCCAAACATCCAAACATATGTGTTTTTGTCAGTGTTAAACTCAAACGGAAAAACGACCAAACTGTCCTTTGATTGGGATCTTTATAGTCTGAACAGAAAAAGACACCAATGAATGTGTAAGGCCACGAGAGAATGTGTGAAACGATTTGAACCAATCTGGCTATAGAGCCACCCAATCACCTCCGTAACACGTCGTGTTCTGTTTTTACCTGTACGCATGTGGGGAGCCCTCTAAAACGTCTTAAACACATCTAAAACTTTGCGGTGGAACGTTGTGAACTGTGCGAGGTGGGTGTGTGAAAAACCTTCAAGGGCAAACTGTCTTACTCTTGGGGCCCATTAGTCTGATTGTACGGCGGGAAACTCTGGTCTTTGTTGCATCTGACCGTCCCGAGCTCAAATCCAAAAACTCAAATACTTCAGTGGCCGACAACTGGTTTCACAGTTGTTGGACAAATCCATTTTGAGAAACTGCGAGACCAGTCGCGTCCAATGTCCTGCCGAAAGAACCATCTGATCCAGAGTCCAAAAAGGAACCTGTGACGCCCCCTTTCATAAGGGGCGTTCG